GTAGTTAGGGTGTTATTATAGTTTGTGATTTGCTTTCATAAGTGATGTTCTTTTTTCCGTAGTTGGTTCTTGGCCGTCGCAGAATTAAGTTATTAGCACTTCTTAACATTTTAGTTTGCACATTTTTCTTTTTTGTAAAGGTTAAGTTAGTATGTATGTTTTTATTTAAAATTTTTCTTATTAGTACGCAGGAAAAGTATTTGTATGATTGTTCTATATTAAGTATTTTAGTATCTTTGTATATTTTGGTTGTAGATGTCAGGAAATCATAACCGAAAAGAATTTTGATCAACTTGTTTTGCGCGATTTGAACAGAATTGAGGTTAGTTTTGGCAGCCGATCCCCAGATTTCTACCAGATAACCGATGTGTGGCTTAGCTAGTGAGTTATAGATAGTGTAACGGACTTTTTTTGGAAGGCAGCGAACTATTCCGCGTAGTGCTCCGGATAGGGATATCAGTTTTTGTTTTATTTTTTTCAAGTGTTCTTTCCAAGTCAGTTGGTTATCTAAAGTAAGGCCCAAATACTTCTCGCTTGTTACTTTATTGATTACTATGTCATTAATTTTTAGAGGTGTGAGATCGGGTACTTTTTTTATTCTTTGCTGCAAAAATCATATAGTTTGTTTTGGCTACGTTTATTGTAAGTAGATTTGAGCAAAACCACTTACTAAGTATGTTTAGATCATTCTGCGCGTCTTGATTAATTGATTCAATATTGTTACCGAAGTAAAATAAGCTGGTATCGTCCGCATATAGTGATAGGTCTCCTTTTAGTTCTAATGTGCTTACATTATTTATGTAAATAAGGAAAGCAATGGTCCTAAAATAAAGCCTTGAGGGACACCGTACGTTATTTGTTTTAGGCTGCTTTTGTGTTCTGCGAGTTTAAGTATCTGATAACGGTCGGAGAGGTATGAATTAAGAAGTTCAAGAGGTTTTGCTGTTATACCTATATCTTGTAACTTATCCAAAAGTATTTTATGTGAGACTGTATCGAACGCCTTTTTTAGATCAATGAAGACGCCAAGAGCAAGATTTTTTTCATCTATATTGTTTTTTATTTTGGTAACAAGGTCTACAGTGGCTGATAGTGTGCTATATTTGGGTCTGAAACTGTATTGTTTGTGATAAAGAAAATTTATAGAATTTAAATAAGTCTCAAGTCGGTTGTAAATAATTTTCTCGAAAATTTTAGAGACAACGGGAAGTACCGATATAGGCCGGCAGTTGCCAGGGTCGGTTTTGCTGCCGTCGGTTGTAGCTGTAATGCTAATGATGATAAATAAGCTATTTATTATTATAATTATTACAATATACAACTTACGAGGGATAAAACTGCTCCTAAATTAGAAACAGTATAATCAAACTGTCTTTTAAATAATTCACTAATCTGTGTAAAATTTGAAGCCCATCTTTTAGGGTTTGACGCACCTGTAACAAATTCAAGGAAATAAAAATGTTCAATTGATTATTGGAAGTATCTGTATAATTACTCGAAAAACATTACCCTACTGCCGCAAAAGTAGGGTAGTTGTTTTTGAGGGTATGTTGGTATGTCTATTTATTTGGCTCGCTTTGTAGCCCAACCAGTTTAATGAATTTTAATAAGTTAGAATTATCTTAATTGTGGGAGTGACATAAGCTATATACTATTTATATACTGCATCTGCACAAAAGAGATGGAAACGATTTTTTTTTTCAATAAACCTTAAACGCAGCCAAGTTTTTCATATACTGCTTCTCAGTTTCACCTGATAGAAAGTAGCTACTTACATAGAATATTATCCTTAACCGACTGCAAACAAATAAAATCGTAGATTCTATGTCACTCATTAGTAATAAGTTCTAAACAACCTGGATTATATTGGCACTTAAATTAAAAACTGGGACGCAGCAGTGGTTGTACTGCTGCGGTGTAGCCATGATCATATGATGAGCTGAATCAGTGCAGTGGCGTAGTAGGCAGAAAATAGCGGGACTAACAAAGTTCTGTTAACTGGTTCATGACAGTTCAAGATGCATTCATGTATCAGTCAAAGTAGGGAGGGTTTTGCCCACCGCAGGGATTCAGATAGGAAAAAATAACTTGTATCAACAATCATAATATAATTAATTATAACTATAGATATGGTATTATTTTAAATTCAAGTTAACATTTTTTATAAAATTCAAATGACAAACAGGCGTTTAATTATGAGTCGGCTATACTCAGTAAAGTTAGAACAATGTTCCACAATTTTATGTTCCTTTGAAATTGCAGTTCCAAAACAACGGTCTATTATCTTAAAATTTTACCAATGGCCCTCTTATATCTGTCCTGTTACTGTGCAGCTATTCGTACATACCTACAGTCCAGTCGTACCACAAATTATTCTTAACTACACTAGGGATATCTCGTCATCTTAGGTTACGTCCCTTAGCAACAACATGAAGAACTTGTTGCAAGCTGTTCAAAATTTGGTCGCTCGTAGACAAAGGTTTAGACAAAACATCGATCTTTAGTTTTAGAAAGGAGAAAAAAATTAATACGTCTCACTCCTTCGTTCCACCAGCCTCAAACGAAAAAACCGGGCAAGAGCGTGTCGGGCCACGCTCAGTGTAGGGTTTCGTAGTTTCCCGTCCGTCACAATATGTGTTCCCACTTATGAGTTTAAAGGTGGGTATCGATTATGTTCGCGCTCCAGCAGCGCTCCGCACTCCTGCAACTGCTCCCGGTAGTGGGTACTGTTGTTTCCATATAAGTTCAAAATGATTTTCCTAGAAAGTCCTTTCGTCCGTTCTACTTTTCAGATTTTTTTCATATTTTCTAAACTTATGGTTCAAAAGTTAGAGGGGGGGGGGACACATTGTTTTTTACTTTTGGAGCGATTATTTCCGAAATTATTGACATTATCAAAAATGATTTTAGTAAACCACTATTCATTTTTAAATACCTTTCCAACAATATATCACACGTTAGGGTTGAAATTAAAAAAAATCACTTCCCACTTTACATATAGGAGGGCTACCCTAATAAAACATTTTTTCCAATTTTTATTTTACCACTTTGTCGGCGCGATTGATACACATATTGGTACCAAATTTCAGCTTTCTAGTGCTAACGGTCACAGAGATTAAGCGAGGACGGACAGACGGACAAACAGACATGGCGAAACTATAAGGGTTCCTAGTTGACTACGGAACTCTAAAAAGCTCAAGTTGCGATCTTCTCATCAAAAATACAAATGAAATGCCCTGTAACGTGTTACCATACCGGCTCTTTTTAACCTTCAGACCATAACACGCACAGTACAGTACGTACTGCTGCTTGGTGGTGGTAGTACTTTACGCACTCTGAGTAGAAAAACATTCCTATAACCTATTTAATTATTTATATAACGTTTTATTACCTTTGTTACTTGGTACTTCTTCATAGTCATTGAATGTATCTATTTGAACGTCTGCACACAATCTGTACAAAAATTAACACAAATATTATGAATTACATATAGTGTATTGATTTAAAATGAAAGTCTAATGGTTTATATACATATTTTAAATCATACACACATATATTAAGTAAATATATGAAATATTATGCCAGGGAACCATGCAAAAGAATATTTATCGACATCAATGTACTTTATGAAATAAATTTATTATTTTAATAAGTAATAAAATTGGCACTTCGAAATTTTGATTAACTTAGATGAGTAAATCAGCAATTTTAACGTAATACAAATTAAACATCTTAATAATATATCATGATTCTCCGAAAGGAAATTTATAGAAAAATAGGTAATGTTAAAAAATATAAATAACATTAAAATGACTAATCTCTTAAGCTTAAAGCTATGTAGATTTTAGTTATGTGAAATGAATATATAGATGACAAAGAAGCTTGAAAGTATTCTGTTGAATTGCGATTGCTGTCGTGATGAACTGGAAAATTCAGATCTAGATGACCCTGTTGCCGGCCTAGGTCTGTCATAAACAATATGATTATACCGCTATCTATATGAAAACATGTTTCACTGCGCGAAGGTCACGCCTAAATTTTCCAAATCGTGATTTTGAAGCCTATATTTTTAGTTAAAGTGTATTCAAAACCATATCTTGGATAAAATAAACTGTTTCCTAGTATAGATGTAAAACTAACTACGTCAAGAATAAAAATTGTGTACGATATAATACAATACGAAGATTTGCGTAATTTTTTGGTAGACAACCATCCATAGACCTTTCATAACATGGCCAAAGTAAAAACCACTTACCGTAAAACGGGGTGAATAGGGACTATTTCAAGGTTTAGGGCAGATTTCTAATTTGTTATCATTGTGTTTGTTATTGAATACTACCTAAATATTCCTTCCGGTGGCTGAAACTTTTATTATTTAGAACTTTTCCCGCATAAAAATGTAGGTTTTACGAGAAAAAGAGAAAAATATGGCCGATCCCGACTCACCCCGTGGTTGGGGTGAAAAGGGACGAAAGAGGGGTGAATCGGGATTTCAGTTAGGGCTGCCACAGATTTTTACCCAACATGATAAAATGAGGTTTTCAATTCCACTTAACAATGTTAAATAAAACAAATATAACAGTGTAGAATGTATTTATTTAATGAGATCAGTAATACAGTCAGCAAACAAAATAGCAGATTTTTTTTTCAAAAGTATGTTAATATCACGTTATTCTCTTATACAATAGACTATTATCAACTACTTTTCTTCTTTTATCAACTAAATAAAATTGAAGAAAAAAAAACATAATAAAAATATTAATTTCGACAAAACAAAACATTTTCGTAATAAGTAATAACTCAACATTGATAAAATAAAACCTCGTATTAGGACTTAATAATATAAATCGTAGGCGAATTATGTTTTACGATTCAAGAAGCCTGAAACAAAAACCATATTACATTATTCGTCATCTTCTAAAATTTTCAAAATTTCACTTTCATTTTTATAATAATTTGTTAGACATCTTTTTTTCTTCTTAGGGGGTGGCAATGGTAATTTAATATCTGATATGATTTTTATTTCTTTTTTCTTTTTTAGTATCCTTCTTTATCTCTTCTTGCTTTAAAAAGTCTGAGCTTGAGATAGTCACTTCGTCTTGATATTGTAAATCTAATGAGTCAGCAAAAACAATAGGAATATCTTCTACGTTAAATGACCCTGAGTCTTTTTCTCTAAGAATGTTTTGGAATACAACAGATTTATCACTCTCATCCGTATTTTTTACATATTGGCCAATGACATCTCTTGATGGTCCAGCTTCCGGTAATATTGGCATAACATTTTCTTTCCCATCCCATCTCTCATCGTCTACTTGCTGATTTGTTTTTAGACATAACAAATTAAAGGTTTTTGTTGCTCTTTGGTGCTCTTTTCTATCGTTAGGTTCGTCAGGCACATTCCTGTTGGTAACTTCTTGAGATTGTGTTGGTGTTTTACTCTTTTTTCCTTTTCCTTTATAACCACCGAATTTCCAAATTTTTGGTATTTCTTCTTCGGGCATCATTTCTACATCATTTCCACAAACACTTCGTCCTGAAACTACCTCTAACTTTTTCTTACATTTTGGTTCCCTAATTTTCATTGTACTGAAACGCATTTCTTTTAAAATTTTCAGGAAAGATTCATCTACCGCATTTTTATTTGTATCTGCTTCTTGATTTAGTGTAGGTAATCTTGACAAGACTTCATTCGCATTTAATGGAATGATTCCTGCTTTACGGAAGCCAGCTTTGATGTTTTTTTCCGAATTGGGTTTTAATTGGCCTATCAATAATTTTAAAAGACGCGGGAAACAACCTTTAGGCACTGATGTTAACATTCTGCCGTCAGTGTTCTTCCACTTGTCTAGTAGTTGTCGCCAGGCTAATTTCATCGGCCTAAAAAAGGCTAAGTCTAACGGCTGGGTTATATGCGTAGAATTCGCCGGTAAAAAGACAAAATGTATGTTCCTTTCTTTACAGAATTTAATCAGATCCACGGAAAGATGCGAAGACAAGTTGTCTCCGATCAGGATCTTTTTTCCTTCTTTGTTTTCAAAAAAAAGATACGACTGTCGTTTCGATCCAGTCTTTGAAAATGACACCGTCAAACCATCCGGATTTAGACCGATTGTACCTTGCACCCTCAGGGCCATTCTCAACCCATGTGTTATAAAGGTGTGAAGCCTTATAAACAATGTACGGTGGCAATAGTTCTCCTGAGCCTGTACATGCCATCATCAAAGATGTTGAGCCTTTTGAATGGTTTACTACCCTCTCCGGGTATTTACAACCTCGTTTTACAATTACTTTTTTTCGGCCAGGATCGTCAGAGATTCGTCTCGTCATAATTTATAATATTTGTAGCTGGAACATTTTCTAAGGATTTTTTCAACTCACAGAAGTATGTCTGTATAGATTCTGGTGAAACTGCAGCCCTAGATCTTTTTATGTTTTGGCATAGTCTCTTTGAAATTTTATTTTTGTGCCGTTTTAGAAAACCGTTTGTGTAGTCTATTCCTGGTAAATTATTTTTAAACTTTTTGTGTACTATCCCTTGTGTGTCTAGATACATTTTGACTAAGTATCTTAAGTCAGTTGTATCTAGGGGATATCCCCACTCTGCACACGTATTTAAGTTTTCTACCAATAGATCTTCTATATCTGGTGTAAGCGCTGTTTGGCCACCAGGGCATTTTATATTTTTATTGGTATGATGGCGATGAAGAGTTGATTTTGATATACCATACTTGTCGGCCACAGATTTTATAGACACATGATTATAATTCAATTCTTCAAGAGCTTTTTTAATTATTTCCTCATCATACTTTTTGTACTGCTTACACCCTGGTTTAGGTTTATAAATGCGAGGCATGATATCGTTCTGTAAACAATGAAAATTATTTGTATAAATATAATGTACAAAAATATCTTTAAACTTCGTCATTTCATTAGATCATGATCTATGGAGCAAGTAGATTTACTGTCTAAATAAAATAAACATTACCTTTAACCGTTAATTATTGCTTATTTAACTTCAGTATTAGTTATTTACATATCTGTGACTTTCTATTGCTATTTCGTAAAGAAAGATTGACCTTTTTAATATTGACATTGTCTTAGGTTCGAATATTTGTATGCAATAAAATACTTTTCTTATGATTTCTATGACAACATATAAATATTTTTTTCTTAAATAACTGAATAAGAGACCAAAATAATTTTGACAACCCTATTAAGTAAGCCCTATTCACCCCTCACTCGTCCTGAATCACCTCTAATTCGTTCCAAATTACCCCTTTTCCGTCCCGAATCACCCCTTTAACTGTCTCTATTCTCCCCTCACACGTCCCTTGTCACCCCAAGATTATCAATTAATGCAGAACCTTTAAAAATTACCATTTGAATCGAAAATATGTAGTTGTTGAACTTACCTTTATAGTATATTAGGTCCTTGAATAATATCACGATAAAATTAATCAATCAGCGTCACTCGAAATTGGTATTTATTATTTTAAAATTGAAATGTTTACAGAACAATATTTTGGCACTTCAATAGTGTTCAATTTAAATAACGTTTTTCTGTCTTATTGACATTTTAGATACTAGATGTTGCCAGAATATACAAGAAACAGTTCTCAATTATTAAAAAAAACATTTGTGTTATTTGATAATCCGGCTGTATGTAGAAGTATCAGTGAGTAGAAAAAATCTTGAGTTTGTCCCTATTCACACCTGCATCCCTATTCACCCCGTTTTACGGTATATCATCATACTTACTATAGTTTCATTTCTGTTTATTTTATGTTCGATGGATACAAAATAACTAAGCAACTACCGAGGCAACAAGATTTTCGAGGTGACGAGGTGGTTTGATAAATGATTTATATATCCAGAATCCATTACCTAAATAAATATTAACCCTTTGAACGCCAAGCACAGTGCATCGAAAGTATGCCCTCTACGCCAGGCCATTTATTTATTGTTACATACCTACAAAATGCTGGTGATGGGGTATTACTAATGTCGAGAAATCTTTATCACTGCTATTGTAATTGATTTCGCAAGTATAAAGATGCTTAATTTGCACGCGCACGCGCACGCGCACGCGCACGCGCACGCGCACGCGCACGAACACGCGCACGGGCATGCACACGCACACGCACACGCGTGCGCGCGCACACACACACACACACGCGCGCGCGCACGCGCGCACACACACACACACGCACACATAAGATTAAAAGCTATTGCGTACTAAATTTTCTTTGAATAAATTACAATTCAAACTAATTGAAAGAAATATTTAAAGCGTACTCCATAAACACTTCTTCGAGTGATGTGCTACCGAATCCCATAGATTCTATGTCTAAAGACGTTCTGTTATATTCAAGTGTGTTAAATATTCCCGCCATGTCTGCATCGCGCGGTATATAATAAACCAATGTTCGCAAGGTTTTGTCCTTCAAAATGGCGGCGGGTGCTATTTTTCGTATCGTTGCCGTTATCTTAGTCACATCCGGCCGGTGAACTGTTGTGATGGGCACTCTGTAACCAACGCCTGAAAAAAAAAGACTAAAATTAATAAGTCTTTCTCTATTTCATCATTCTAATGTTGGAAAGGTGTCAATGAAGAGACGTGCTACTTGTTTCAATCTTTAATGATGATCCGATATGAAATGATACAAGTCGTAAGAGTTGCTCTACATCACACCTCCTACCGACAAAGAAATATAAAAAAGGAAATGATTACATTTGTACTTTTAACTAATAAAATAAATATAAAACTTAAGTCTAATAAGAATATAAATTACAAGATCTCCCTTTCTCCACTGACCTCTATATGTATATACAAATACGCTGGACTGGCTATACTATACAAAATGTCTGTTCCAATTTAAAGCGCAACTATTGATCGTCTTGAGAACTGATATTGACGTAATATGCCGAAGCCTGTTGTCTTATTTAATAAATCTGTATTTTGAACTTTTGAACTTTAAAAGTTAACATAAAATATATTTTATTTAGGGCCTGGTGACCTGTAACTCAGGTTTTATTATAAAACCTATCATAGGCACCAGTCTCTCACAACGTTACGTCCTTACTACGTTGTTATTGTTAACTAGCCAGTAAGAAGTTGTGAAGAAATCAATAAATAAATAAATAAATAAAATATATTTTAAAATATATTTTATGTTAAGTATTTTATCTTGTTTGATTGCGTATAATTTTAGTTACATGATGAGAATTAATTTTAATACTAATGAGTGTTCGTAAACTGTAAAACTCATTACCAAAAGGAAAGTGGTATAATATTCCACAAGTAAGTGAATTTGAAGGTAATATTAAACAAATTAAAACTATTTGATAATATAGGTACCTAAAAATTTGTTACTAAGTAATCTTAGTATTGTTACGAGCTTGAGGTTCGTGACACTAAAAATTGCCGATAGAATTACCTAAATTAACACTTTAATTTTCTTTACACAAATTAAAACTTCACACTTCACACAATCACACTGATTCACTTTATTCTGCTCCGAAGTTTCGCTTGTCTCGCCAAATTCAATACTTCGCCGATCGCGTATTGCAGCGCCATTATATAGGGCTCTTCCACGAAAACATCCAGAATATTCCAGCATATTCAATTAAATACGCGCGCCAATCGACTAAGCATCGAAAGTTTGAGTGTCGGGCTTCTAGAAGCATAGTTCTTCGTTTTGACAACAGATGGCGCTGTCGGTTGAAATATTAGTGATGTCATTTTCTGGAAAGCTCTCTCCTCGCTCTGTAACCCGATACTAGATGGTGCTAGTACCAGATGTCAACTTAGCCGCGCAACACTTCCCCCTCCTAAGACATGCTCGTCCCGAGCATTATCGGCTCCATACTAACGCGCCAGGCGATCCACATGGACGATCTTAGGAGTCCCTCTTGCGTCTTTCTGTATCCGGTAGGTTACATCGTTGATCCTGGTCACAATCCGGTACGGGCCGTCCCATTTAGCTTGAAGCTTAGGAGATTTCCCTTTGCTGCGGACTGAATTGTGCATCCACACTAGTGAACCTTCGTCGAACCCTTTGTTGTTGATTTTGCGGTCATACCGGGTTTTCATCTTTTCAGACATTTACTGGCCTGATTGTCTGACGTGCTCATAAATGTCATTCATTTTGTTCCGCAAGTCATTTGCATAATCGGTTATACTGCGTGGAGCATCAGGTGGTATCCCGGTGTTCAGGTCCGCAGGTAGCCGTAATTCTCTCCCAAAGTTTGCGAAAGCTGGTGTCACTGATGTACTTTCGTGAACAGCGCTTCGATATGACAACAAAAACGGTTGTATGTGCTTGTCCCAATCTCGTTGCCGATTGTCTACAACTTTTACTAGGTGCCTCTCCAATGTCTGATTAAATCGTTCTACCATTCCATCGGATTGCGGGTGATAAGAAGTCGTTCTTGTTTTATAAGTACCCATAACTCGGCAAGTTTCCTGGAATATTTGAGACTCAAAATTCCTTTCCTGATCGCTGTGAATCTCTAAAGGTACTTCAAAACGACAGAAGACTTTATGAACTAGTTTATCTGCAACTGTTGAAGCTTCTTGATTTGGAATGGCGAAGACTTCCGGCCACTTAGTGAAGTAATCCATCACGACCATGAAATACTTGTTACCGCTTTCACTCTCCGGAAACGGCCCCGCCACGTCAATGGCTATTCTCTCCCATGGTGCACCAACATTGTACAACTTCAATGCACCTCTGCTACGAGTCTGAGGTCCCTTTACAGCCGCACAACTTATACATTTGCGACACCAGTCCTCGATATCGTTTCGACAGTGGACCCAGTAAAACCGTTCTTGGATCTTCAGTACAGTTCGTTTAACTCCCAGATGTACTCCTGAACGAACATTATGGTACAGCTGTAGAACATCCGGTACTCTAGCTTTAGGGACGACCATTTGCAAATGACAGCTGTCTCCCCGAACATTTTCCCATTTACGGCACAGAACTCCATCCTGAAGCAGCAAGCTGTCCCACTGGGCCCAATAGCTTTTAGTAGTCGAACTCATCGGTGAGACGTCGCTCCACTTGGGCTTGGGAGCACTGGCCTTCATCCATTCCAAAATCGGCTTGATGTCCGGATCTTTCTGCTGTGCATGTCGTAGGCTGTCCTTCCATTCGTTGCTGAGGTGGTCTGTCCTGAGCATCCTCACGGATATCACTTCCTTACTCTCTCGCCTAGTACAATGTTTCCGATCTTCAGGACAAGGTCTTCTTGACAATGCATCTGCGTTGCTATGAGATTTCCCGCTGCGATGTCTGATAGTAAAGTCTTATCCCGGCTGCTGCTGGGCGGTGATGTTAGCCGCACTTCCCTTCTGAGATCGTTCACCTTCCCTTTCTAGGGTTTGCTTAGCGCAGCTGGATCGAAGATGGCCCCTTTCTCCACAGCCATAGAACCTAGGGCTGTATCCTTTATTGTGGTCGCGAACTGTAGCTGCTGCGATCTCCCTGACGACGATGGGAACGATATCATGCCGCATGGCCTCTACCTCCAGTGCATGGGCCAAGGCGTCCCTAAGCTTCTCGTGGTGCCCGAGCCTCACAGCAGCTCTGACTTCCAGGTCGCGGATGCCGTCGAAGAATGTCTGCACCAGGTTCCCTTCATTGAGCGCAGGTACAGACCGGTATGCTTTTCGCACCAGCTTCTCCACCTCTAGAGTCCACTGCTGCAGGTTTTCGTTGATGCGCTTCACGTGATCTTTAAGCTGCGCACAAAAGACGTGTTCCAGGTGAGCGTCGCCATATCTAGCCTGCAATGCCTCAAGGAGCTGCTCGTAAGTCATTTCTTTACCGAGAGCTTCTAGAACAGTTAAGACCTGGTCGCGCAGGCCTAGTGTGAGAGCAGTCATGGCCTGACTTTTATTCCAGCCGTTTGCCTTCATAACAGCCTCGAACTGGATTTTGTAGGCCGTCCACGAAAAAGTCCCGTCGAACGGCGGCACTTTGAATCCACGTACTGAAGGTGTTGCAGCTACCACGGGAGGTGTAGTTCAATCCCCCAGTTTGAGATAGTCCAGAGTTTTCTTCCCATTAGCCACCATGTTGTCTACCCGATTGTTCACTTGGTCGATTTAGGTTTTAGCTTCCTTGATTTGGGTTTCAGCCTTCGCGATTTGGGTTTCAGCTTCCGACAGGTGGTTGTCATGCCGAGCAACCCTATCCTTAACCTCCTTTATCTCCTTCCCGAAGTAGCGTGAACATCCTTCATGAGGAGCATTTGCTCCTCCAACCGACGGGCCTGTTCCTCTTGTTCGCCCCGCAGCTAACCTTCCAACCGACGGACCTGTTCCTCCTGTCGGTGGACCTGTTCCTCCTGGTGGCGGGCCTGTTCCTCCTGTCGCCGGGCCTGTTCATCCTGTCCGCCCCGTAGCTGCTCTTCCAACCGTCGGACCTGTTCCTTCTGTCGGCGGGCCTGTTCATCCTGTCCGCCCCGCAGCTGCTCTTCCAACCGACGAACCTGTTCCTCCTGTCGGCGAGCTTGTTCCTGCAACATCACCATCAGAGCACCTAAATCAGGTGCTGCAGATGTAGGAGCTACTGACGGGCCTGCAGCCGGTGGCTCGCCCTCCGACGTCTGCGGCGTTGCACCACCAAATCTTCTTTGGTCCGTCTCCTGCTGGCGTTGACTTCGGGTACGGACACCCTCCGTTTCCTCCTTAGGTAAAATCGGCATGTTTTTATCCCACTTCTGACACCAGTTGTTACGAGCTTGAGGTTCGTGTCAATAAAAATTGTCGATAGAATTACCTAAATTAACACTTTAATTTTCTTTACACAAATTAAAACTTAAAACACCAATAATTAATCACACTGATTCACTTTATTCCGCTCCGAAGCTTCGCTTGTCTCGCCCAATTCAATACTCTCCCCATTGCACCTTGCAGCGCCTATAAATACACCTTAGTACCGAAAAATTCAGAACATTCAAGTAAATACGCGCGCCAATCGACTAAGCATCGAAAGTTCGAGTGTCGGGCTTCTAGAAGCTTAGTTCTTCGTTTCGACAACAGATGGCGCCTTCGGTTGAAAGATTAGTGATGTCATTTTCTGGAAAGCTCTCTCCTCGCTCTGTTACCCGACTCTAGATGGCGCTAGTGCCAGATATCAACTTAGCCGCGCAACAGGATCATAATTACCAACATTTTTGGCTGTATATTACTGAGTTTTTACTAACAATTAAATTCAATAGGGTTGTCGAGTTCCTTGTCTATAATATTTATTGATGTTCCTTTCTACCCATATCTGTTAACAAATAAAGTCGCAAACAACACATAATCATTGAGTGTTTTTACTTAACAGGTTTCCAACTGAACCTAGACAAAAATTATGGCTTAAAAGCATTTCCATTTAATGATGATGAATGAAAATGGCTTTATATTAATATGATACATAAATAGAACGGACGTTATGGGTAGATGCCATCTATCCATAAAATCTATTCTATTTATTTAAATATAGGTAAGGTATAGAATTTTCATCGATATATTTTGTGTCTTATCCCTATTGTTAGTTTCGTGGACGTTCACTTCTGCTGTCAGCGCCAAAATGGCACAAATCAAATCGCCTCATCATGCCACGGTGTATAACCAGTCCAGCGTACTCTTGTACTTGTATATATAGAGGTCAGTGCTCTTTCTCGTAATAAATTCAATGTCATACACAAAACATATCTATTTGATATAATTAGGTAATTCACGAACATCTAGTATAGTTGAGCAGTTCAAATTTTAAAATAATCTTTGCTTATTTATCTCTTATTACTTTTCACCTTATTCTTTATAACTTAAAGTTTATTCATTTCGTTTTTTAAGCTTAACAAATATTATTTACATAATTATTTCTTATATTTACGCGAACATTACACATTGCTTAAAACTACTTTTACTGATTATATCGCGTTTAATTTTAATTCCCGACGTTTTGATTGCTTTCCAGAACCCATAGTCACGGGGGACTGAGGTGACTGACGTACTGATGTCAATGTTAAACCCGGAGTACCTTCTACTTTTTACTTTTTGTTTATGGTCCGATCTATGCAGAATGAACATACTCTGTCTCGAGGTCTTGCAATGGTATGCTTGAGTGTAGGTTTAATTTTATTAATTACATGGTCCCAAGCAGGTGGTAGTACCCAGCCTCCTTCCCTATTAAAATTAGGACATTTTTAATAGCAATAGCTGCACGTATCATCCTTGGTAGGAACCGATGTACCTTCACGAGGATTTGTGGTTTATCAAATCTGATGTAATGGTTGGGGCCACTTAGGATATGATCACAAACTGCAGACTTCCTGGAACGTCGTTGCTTCACGTCAGCTATGTTCTTTTACGCGGGTTATAATACATCTTTTTGTTTGTCCTATGTATGAGAGACCATATTCACAATCACGCTTGTAAATTTCTGCATCCTGTAGAGGAATAAGGCACTTGACAGTTGGTAAGAAATGACTAATCTTCTTCGGCGGCTTGTAGAATGTTCTAATAGAATCGCGCTTCAAGATGTAGCCAATCTTGTCTGTTGATCTGCTTGACGTGCTGAAGCTCGGCGGCCAGTTTTTCGCTATCACAGATCCCTCGTGCTCTCTGTAAAAGAGATTTGCCCACGGTAGCTAACTGTGAAGAATGATGGTGAGATTCACTGTTTAAATTTCGTTTTTTATGGGCCTATTTCCTATTCACAGTGTGACCTATGGTGTTGTTAGGATTTCGGATGATCAATACATCTAGGAAAGCTAAGGAATTATTTGCCTCTAACTGATTAGTAAATTTTTAGACTTTTAGAGTTAATGGAATTAAGATGTTCTAAAAATGCAGTTACTTTGTCTGATGGTTAAATTGTGAAAGTATCGTATTCGTACCGCTTGTACGCTGATTAAAAGATCTAAAGACTAAGCGCGCAAGATACATAAGTAAAAAAACTGAAGGTACTTCGGATTAACATTGACATCGGTACGCCAGTCACCTCAATCCCCCTTCACCATGGGTGCTGGAAAGCACCCGAAACGTAGGGAATCAAAAATCAAATAAAATTAAGCGCGATAAAATTCGTAGAAGTAGTTTTAGTCAAAACATTATTTATTCCTGTTTCTACTTCAAATTATGTTAGTTTTTTTTTATTAGATAATTGTGTCTTTTTTTCACATACACGTCTCGCATGCATACATGATCAAGACAATAACAATATTATTTCATCAACTTCTTTTCATTTATAGGATGAGCTAAATCACATTAATCACTATTTAATTGTACTAAAACTTTCACGTACACGGCTCGCGTACGTACATAATCGAGATAACGGACAATATTCCATGACTATTTATAACAAATTCACATTTTTCTCATTAAAAATACATTAAAAGTTATCCCACATTTAATAGTATCCAAACAACCTTAAAAACTAATATTATTAATTTAATTAAATTATTTATCATTAGGTTTTTCAAACCCTCAGCTGGTCATGCATGCACGGATATGCTAACCTCCGATATTTTTTACTAGCTACGTCACACTTTTGGCCTACATATTTTTATCAATATTTTTCATTCAGTTATGTATCCGTAACTTAGTCCTAAACTTCACTCACATCTTTTACAAATTTATATTATAAAGTCTTATAGTATTTATGTACATTATTTATAGTCAAGGAATGAGGCTCACAACATCAGCACAATTTTTTTTACAAAAAGCACCGAAAATATTCTCATAATCCACAAAAATCAGTCAAGTATTAAAACTATACCATTTTATCAGTTTTATAAAAGTTTAAAGCATATTATTTTAAAGTTTCAATAAATATAAAACCGAAAATTTTTATTTTATATTTTGTATAAAACCAAAAATAAACATTTCATTTTTATATGAACATTATCACTCACATAACAACAGAGATCAAAATACAACTTGATGATGAATGAAAATGGCGGACATTTCCTTGCCTTAAAATCCCTCTCAGAAATGAGAGGAGGCCTATGCCCATCACATATAGTATATAGGCTGCTACATAGTATATAGGCTGCTACTTTAACTTTAATAACTGGCTACCAAAATACGTAACAAATTGAAAATAATAAGGAATTACCAAAAGCATTCTTCAATTGTGACGGTGAGGCATTGCAGCGCAGCTTGCCAGCGTGTAAAGCAATAATGCGATCACCCAAGATATCAGCCTCCTCTAAGAGTTGTGTAGTCATGATCACGGTTCGTTTACCACGAAGGATCTTGAAAACAAAAACAATTGAGCGTTAGGATGATGCACAAATATTTATTAAGTAAAGTTATGTAAATATATGCTTGAGATAAGCTGTAACTTGTAATGACTATCGCGCACAATACCAGCATGATGTTCTAGCCGGTGGATGGCATTGTATTAAAGATCTAGAAATCGTGTTAAGCCGCAACAAATCATTATTTAAAAATTGAATGAAATTATATATTTAAATATGTTGGGTATTTTTAAGCTCCCAAGTAAGTATTCGTAAACTAAAGACTGAACTAAAAAGAGATAATATTTTACATTGGGAAATTCATTCAAAAATATAAATCTAAGCGATCAATTTGAATCATCTCATCATCACCATTACAGCCTTTTACAAGTGCACTGCTGAACATGGCCTCTCACCCAAGAAGTGCCATAAAGCACGGTCCTGAACCACCCGATCCATCGACTTCCTGCATGTTTTACTAGTTCGTCACTCCATCTAGTGTGGGTGGTGAGGCTGCCACTCAAGAAACTTTTTTCTACGTTGGTTGTTCGAGCCATATGCTCACTGCCACATCAGCTTGGCTCCGTTGTGCTAAATAGGCCACTCTAGTTCTACTGCGGATAAGGTGATTCCGCTATAAGGACTATATAGTTGGCACTTTGAAAGTGAGTTTCCAGTTCAATAGCTTGAAAACGTCTTCAAATGGAGCGGTGAAGAGTTTCGGGGATATAACGTCACCCTGTCTTGCACTTCTCTGCAGTTGGATAGGTTTCGTACTATGGTTCTGTACTTGGATAGCCATTGTAGCCCTACTGTACAAAAATTTCAGCACTTCGATATACTGACAGTCAACTTGGGAATACTGAAGTGATTGTAGCACTGCCCAAATTTTGTCAGAATCAAAGTCTTTCTCACAGTCCACGAGCGTAAGGAAAAGTGGTAGAGTGTACTTTTCGGTCTTCTATACAATCTGCCGCAGACTATGTATCACTTTTAATAGGTAAAGCAAATATTGTTGAATGGCGAGTGAAATACAAGAGGGCCATTAGAAGATATAGATCAAGCAATCGAAATATTTATATTTTAGAAGAAACCAACGTCAACCAATGTCACAATGTTGGAAAATGTTGGCAATCTGAATTGGAGCTTGGAATTTATACTAACATAGGCAAAGAAAGGCGCTTCACAATAGTGCACGCTAGTGGTCGAAATGGATTACTTGACCACGCGTTGCTGATCTTTAAATCGGATTTGAAAATGGGGGATTATCACGGAGATATGGACTCTACTAATTTTTATACTTGAATCTATCACTAATTGATTTCTAAACTCAAACTAGACTCATTCTCATTATGAATAGTGTAGCATATCATTGTGTGCAAGTAGAAAAGAAAACTACTATATCAAGTTTGTAACTACATATCCAAAACTGGTTGCGGAATCAAAACGTTCTATATGTTCCCACCGTGGTTAAAACCGAACTTTTGAGACTGATCAATATGACGCAAGTAGAAAAAAAAATACATTCATACAAAAAGTATATTGGTAAACTTCTGAAAGCTGCAGGTCTAACTCCGTACGGTCCAGATTTAAGCTCAATCGAATTCGTGTAGGAAGATTTTAAAAATTACTTGGAAAATATAACTAGTAAATAACATTAATGCACCATTTGACGAAAGAACTATAATATTTACTAGGTTATTTTCTGAATTCTTTTTGAAATTGGCAGAATTGTGATTATCATGTTTAAAAATTGAACAAGAATACTGAAATCATGATATCACGTGTGATAGTGTGATAGGTAAAACATTATTTACTTACGTAGTACGTACGTACTTAGATGATTCAGACTAAAATCCAGAAAGCCTAGAATCAAGTGATATTGAGGATATGTCGGAATTATTTCATATACCTAATTTCTTTTTGTTCTAGTGAGAATAGGCTCGAGGTGTCCAAGAGATAGGTATTTATCAAATTAAAGAATTTTTTTTGGTAAGGAGTTGAAATTTAACTTTGCACAAGCGTTGCCTTAATTTTAGATTAGACAAAATTATTTAGGTGATAGAAATAACGCAGAGTATCGAAGACTTTCTGGTAAACAGTCGTAACTTAGGTTTTCCTACTCAAGTTGGAAGCAATATGTAAATCTAGATCCTTCACAGTAGAACACATTTGAATCACGGCACTCTAAAAACGATAGGAGGTAGAGCTAATGTATTCTATCTCACAATCTGCAATTACATTATTATGATCAGACACTACGATGGGTTGATCATTAAGTCAACCAAAACCCACACAGTTACTTAAGTGTTTTCTATGCCTGCCCTAATATCACCACTTACTTTCAGGCAGTACGGAAACGGTACTATAACAAGCCTTATAAGCCAGACTGCAAGGGCCTTAATATTATGTCTTTACAAGGGATAAATAGCGAAAGCTGCATGTGCACACAGGTCTCAAAGACTTTGTATAAGAAAGGAAAAATGGATATAGGTTGGAAATTATTAGGTAACGTGAGATTTGGGATGGGCAAGGGAATAACGTAAACTAGTGAACCAAAATCTCCAGAACCCAAGAATAAGTTAATGATGTAACTGAAAACAGATGGTGAAGTAATATCCGATAATCATTCATCGTCCCATATTGATGCAACATTCGTCATTAGATTTCTATAGCTACTGGAGAAAAGTGGAAAAGCACAATTGCAAGACTAGGTAAACCCATTAACACGTGTTCAACATACCCCTGGTCTCGTGATTAAAGTGACTTGGAAAATACTATCATCCAAACTAATCGTTTTTGAAACTCAACGGGACGCATGCGTCTCACCTGATGGTAAGTGACTACCGCTGCCCATGAACAACTACAACATCAGAGGAATTTCAGATAAGTTGCCGGCCTTTTAAAAAAGATTAGGCTTTTTTCTTGACGACTCCAAAAGCAATTTGTGCAAGGAAAACTTATTGTAAATCACACAGTGGTGGACTACCAATCATTTAGACTCTATTTATGGTATTACGAGTTTTGTCGAAGTGTGCGGTGGTGAAATTGAGTAGCGGAAATTAATCTAAACAATTCCTAAGAGCACTCCCCTTGGTAGATGTGATAAAATACGCAAAGAGATCCAACACCTCTTCACAATTACAGTGAGTCAAGCCGATCAGAATAAGATTCGAACCACTCTGCGCTGGATGCGATCAAATGGAAGAATCTGGCACTGGGGAGCCCCAGCAGAGAAGGAAGATGAGACATTTCTAGGAATAAGTCGGCGTTTGGCATTGCATATCATCTGATTGCATTGATTTCTTCTTCCTTGCTGCTTCAGTGCTTAAATAATAATAAGAATGACGACTTTTGTTCCTAAGGATACCCAAAGTTAAAATTAAGATTATTTATAGGTATATCTACATGTAGATAATTAGGTACCTAGTTATTGGCTTCATAGTTACAGATTAATTATTTTACCAGCGACCCGATCACAGCTTCGCAGTTTTAGATTTTTTGTCGTATAATGTAAATGACCTTAAATTATCGTTAGACTATAACAAGTTAGACGTTAGACAAGTAGTTAAATAATAGTGAAAAAAATTTACGATTTAATTAGTAGACTAATTTCACGAAAGTCGTTTACGAGGCGTGCAAAATATTATAAGCATTAGCGACGATTTAACCAGGTTTAAATTCGCAAGTTCGCTATCAGAGAGTGATTCTTCTGTTCTTGTACTATCATTAATTTTGTGGTAGTACTTATACTGAAGTTAAAAAGAAAACTATCACAGCTAAGTAGGCTTAACAAGTTAACAAGTAACAGTCGACCAACTTATAAAATTTACTTGGATTAGTAAAAATTTTGCTACCATTCCTTACAAAACGACATAAAACTTGGTGCATTATAACTTTGTAATGTTATTTTCATAAATTACTACTATAGTTTTACTTGCTCCACCCCAAGATAGTTCAAGGTAGTAATAGATTACGGGTTCCACTGCGAGGAACTAATAGATGGATTATCTTGAGTATGATCTCACTTAGAGACTACTTTTCTACAAAGAAGTTTGGCATTATAAAATCTATACAAAATTCTCTATACTGTGGTCTAAACAAAAGTCAGGTTGTACTTCATTACGAAAATATTTTATTGTATTTTGGTAACAAAAAGAAATATACTAAGCGAATGTCGACAGTGTGTAAATAACAATTATTTCGATATATATTACTCAAAATTATTTACGTAAAAAGATAAATTATATCACAAATAGAAAATCCAAAAATTATATAAGTTTAATAATAATAACTATGTACCATTTTTGTAGGGCCTAAGCATGTGAATGATTTGAATTATTTTCAAAATCAAAAAGTTTTAATCTTTTTGAATACCACTCCGTACAAGTCTGCTCAGAAAATGAGTCTCTCATTTACCATCGTCCTATTTTTATTCTTTATATTGGCCAAACCCCGAACTCACTTCATCATATTTTTTTACGTGGCAGAGCCATGCTGCAGCTTATTATTAATGGTATAGTTGTAGTAAGAATAGGTCAGCTTGACTTGGGATGATGCTTGAGGATGTGCTTGAAGACCACACTCTAAGAGAATACCATCAGTGTCAAATAGCAGCTTAACGCTGCTGTGTTTTGTTTGGTTAGTGTAGAGAATCGAAGAATCTTTTTAATAGAAACGAGGTATTCCATCTTAGTCCTCGTGGGTGGCAACGTATCTGCATTCTGATTCGTTATCGAGGATAGATGTCTTCGGAGTCTGTGCTCGTTTGCCACCTTAACTTTAAAACATCATCCTCGTCATCATGATAACAGTTACGGACCTTCACAGTTCCACTGCTGAATATAGGTCTTCTCAAAGAAATGCCACAAAGCACAATTCTGAGCCACCTGCATCCATCGACTCCCCGCGTGATTCACCAAGTCGTCACTCCATCTAGTGGAGGGATGCCCTACACTTTGTCTACTGGTACGAGGGTTTTAATCAAAAACTTTCTTTCTCCATCGGTTGGCGAT